CGTTCGGAACGGACGTCTATGACGAGATTTATGAATTCGACATGAAGGAGTCTACTATTAGAGCCACGATGACGAGTCAGCGAGACTATGGGGTGAAACAGAGTCAACCCAATAGAGGGAAACAGGGAAACTTTTCCAGGCAACCCCCTAATAGTGATAGGGGGAACAATAAGGGAAATCAAGGGCTCAAGGGAAACGGGGAACTTCAAAATCATCCCAGGGGAGGACCGCAAAACCAGGGAAACTCAAATCAACCTCGGAAGGAAAAACGCGACCCCTCTAGATCCCTCTGCTATCGCTGTCAGGAGATAGGCCACTTCGCTCGGGAATGCACAGCCTCAGCAACGGTCCCAAGAGCCCCAAGAGAGTTTTCGGAAGAGAGTCCGGAGGTATCGCGCGACACCGGAGTCCAACAAAGGGTAGAGTCAGTCGCGCAGAAGGCAATAGTCCTCAAAACCGATCATATCAAGGTATTAGATGGCCCACCCACCCAAGTACATTTACAAGTAGGAAAAATGAAGAAGGGGGAGGGACGATTTTTTGTCGACACTGGGGCCGACGTTAACTTGGTGAGATCAGATAGGCTGCATCCACGGGTAAAAATTGATGAGTCGGAAATAATTATAGTAAATGGTGTTACACCAGGAAAAATTAAAACTAGAGGACACGTGAGACTCAACGTCGCGGGATTAGAAGACACGTTTCATGTCGTAGATCCCAACTTCCCCTTGTGAGAAAATGGACTAATAGGGAGACCATTCTTGAGGAGTAGAGCGGTCAGAATTAACTATGGGGAGGATTCACTCATGATAGGGGACAACGTACACTCCTTTACGAATACGGAGTCGATACTGCTTCCGCCTAGAACGGTGAAACTCGTCGATGTCAGGGTAAACAAATTTGATTCCCCGGTCGGGTATATTCCTCGCAAAGATGTGAAGCCTGGAGTATATTTCGGCGCGGCCATAGTGGAGCCGAGAGGAGGGGTCGCGTACATGTATGCCTATAACACCCTTGAAACAGCAGAAAAATGGATGACCATAATCGGAAAAGCCGAAAGAGGGCAGAGGAGGTCATTAATTGTCTGCGTTTAGAAGGATTAACTCAAGAAGAACAGGACGAGGCTAGGGAACTCGTCAGGTACAACCCGTGGATATATCAAGTGGGTGGGGAAAAGCTCCAGGAAGCCCAAGTGACCGAGTATAAGCTCAAATTAAAGGACCATGACCCGATATATGTTGTGACGCGACATTTTCCTGAGCAACCGAAAATGCCCATCACCTTCGCCCTTCCTCCCTCTGGCCTCCTCGCCGATGCAAAACTTAACTAAAATCGGGACCTAAAAACGTTGCCGGGCGCCAGCTAATTTTCCTGATCGAGAATCAGGAACTTGAAAACCTAAACCTAATTTAAAATCGCAATACGTATCACTAACCCGTACTTAGATCTAATTCATCAAGGGTTGAGGGAGAGGTAACGCGCTGCTCAGTGTGCTAGGTTGTGGAGAGAGGGGTGGATTCGGGGAAAAGGGCGAAAATGTTCAAATAAATAGTTCCTCAAAAATTTCACTAACGACCTCACAATTAGCTATTTGTATTTCATTAAACTTGAACACTGGTGTCGACAATGTCCCAGTTGACCGAGGGGAAATCTCGTCCTTTTGCTCTCACGTCCGAGCGATAACTGCCAAAAAGATGGCGCAACTCATGCCTCACCGGGACGTTAGTTCCGGTGGGTCAAGCGCGATGGCACTAATTATCCTGACGCGCTAATATCTCCCCATTCAAATTTGAATGGGGGAAACGAATCTTTATGTTTTACCCCAAAACTGACTATCGCGGCTAGTCTTTCCCGGTTGTTTTCCCTGGGGATCCGTGGATGTAACTAACCCTAGACTAACTTAACTAAGACGGCAATCCGGGGAGGTGTCGGTCGTAACACCCCCACCAACCTTCCAACGCTAACCCGAAATATAAAATTCCTCACGGACCCCTCGTTTTAAGGGTGCTGGCACTCGCAGCCAGGCTGTTCATACCGGGAAGATTTCGCGAACAGAATGACCCTCACATCCCCGTCGGACGATAATTTTATATTATCCCTCTTCGCGACGAGATTGAGGACCGACACGATTTCCCACTAATTAACTGACCCCATAATCCCTATCTGATACTAAACGTCCCCTAACGAAATCCTAATCTCCTGCTGCTTCAGCCCTTTAAACCCCTTTACGATTTTTCCCAACCTAAATTCTCCTATGGTTCCCTAATCTCCTGCTAATCCCGGAATGAGCAGGGAAAACTCTAAACTTCTAACAGCCTCAGCGTAGTCTCCGGGCCGTCCGGGATAAGCGCGAGACCATATTTTTATTTTATTTTAGTATCGGTTATTTATTTTGATTTTTCTCCACGGTGTGGGATTCGCGGGTTGGTCGCGGCTCTCTCTCTAAAAAAAAAACGATGCACGTCACAATGTTAAACAGTTTAGGCTCCCCTTCCATCTGAGAGACAAGGCCGACGAATAGGTGGACACCATGATCAGAGACGGCATCGTTGAGCCCTCAGATTCATCATACAACTCGCCTGCCTAGATGGTCCCGAAAAAACCAGAGCCCGACGAGGAAAGGCGTTGGCGCATGGTAGTCGACTTCCGTCGGCTCAACGAAAAAATGGTGGCTGATGCGTACCCCCTACCTAACATTACGGATATATTAGAATAGCTAGTGGGTGTGAGATACTTCTTCACCTTTGATTTAGTGTCAGGGTTTCACCAAATCTCGTTAGCTCCACAAAGTCGCCTAAAAACCGCGTTTTCCACTTCCAAGGGACATTTTCAGTACACACGGATACCAATGGGCATCGCAAATGGTCCGCCGGCGTTCCGACGAGCCATGGATATGGTGTTTTCCGGGTTACAAGGGGCAGGACTATTTGTTTACATGGATGATATCGTTGTCTATGGGAAGTCTATTGAAGAACACAGGGTGCGGTATAAGCAGTTCGTGGACCAACTGCATGAGGTCCAGATGAGTTTAAGCCCGGAGAAATATAAATTCCTACGAGAAGAGGTAACATTTTTGGGACACTGTATCAGCGAGGATGGAATCAAACCAAGCCCGAAGACAATTGAGCCGATTCTAAAATATCCAAGGCCCGCAAACCAAAAGGGAATTCGCCAATTCATCGGGTTGGCCGGGTATTACCGCAGATTTATCGATAATTTCGCGAGAAAAACTCGACCCCTCACCGAATTACTGAAAAACGATGTTGCAATTGGGTGGGGCGAGAGACGGCAACAAGCTTTCACCTCGATAATACAGGAAATCACATCTTATCCAATACTAAGGCATCCCGATTTCACCCGACCATTCCTCATCCCCACGGACGCATCGGATTTCGACGTCGGCGCGATTCTGAGTCAAGGGGAAATACGCAAGAATCTGCCTATATGCTACGCATCCCGAGTGATGACGAAGGCTGAAAAAAATTATACGACTACGAAAAAGGAATTGCTAGCCATATGGGCACGAATTTACTGTGGTGACCGACCACCAGCCATGGGAGTGACTAAAATCCACCAAGGATCTGGGAGCGCAATTGCGTCGATGGGCGAACGAATTAGATGAGTATAACTACAATGTCAAATATAAGCCGGGGAAAACAAATCTCAACGCCGACGCCTTATCGCGTAACCCAATAACGGATGGTGATATCGAGGAGGCTCAAGAGAGGAACGTGGCAGTAGTGAGCGCAATAAACCCAAGGATGAATGAAATTGAAGTCGGAGATGCCGTATGTTATGTCGTCATACCGAGCGGCCTAAGAGTCGGTCCATGTGTCGTGGAGTCAACGTGGCCCGATAATAAGATATTGGTGATACGAGGAACAAGCCCAGACATCGCCAGGGGGGAATACACAGTGGCAGTCAACGATCCCCCGGATGACAAACTTCCCGACGACCAGGAACCGCCACCAGACTATCCAGAAATGGACATCGGAGATTTGGTCTGGTATAAAACCGCCTCGCCGTACCGCACAGTGGGTCCGCACGTGATCACTGCAGTTTTATCTCACGATGTAATTCGGGTAAAGATAGAAAATGAGACAACCCACGTGCCTAAATGTCGGATAGTGTCAATAACCCGGAACCTCCCAGCTTAACGGACGAGACAGGGCAACTAGATGTAAGCCCCCAGGGAAGCGCTCAGGCGCCTTCGAGGTCAACAATGACATTTTCCTCGGACACCATCAATGAGCAACCGCCACCCCGGAGAAAGCGGGGACGACCGCGGAAGAGGCCAGCAGAAGGGGTGGCCGAAGAACCGATGAAACGGCCGAAAAAAGCCGAGGCCACCCCAACAATCATTCTTGAACCAAGCTCGGATGAAGAGGATGAACCCGAAAGCGACCATGGCGATTTGTATGATCCCCGGGAGGAGTCAGTAAATCCATCTGAGGATGATTTTGGAGCACCACTGGCCCTGTTGTCCGACAGAGGGATCGACTTCACAAGCACGATGATGGCAGAATTCTGCAAATTATTTCGGATCCGCCAATGCCTCACGACGGTACACTCTCACTCTCTCTCGTCACACTCTCTCGAGCTCAGCCATCATGTCCTCACCGAATTCCTAAAAACTCAACTTGGAGACAGTGGAGATTGGGACAAATGGACGGATATGGCGATGTTCGCGTACAACGCCAGTGTTCACGACAGCACCGGCTACGCTCCTCACGAGCTGGTTATGGAGTGAAGCCACGGGTACCATCAGCAAGGTCATTGGAAGGCATAGGGGGAAAACCCTATAGCCAACTATTCAACGAAATAACGGAACTAAACTAAATATTGGAACTGATGGAAAGAAATAATATCAGGATCCAGACGGAAAGGGAACCGCGTATAATACATCGGGACAAGGTGAAGAAAGCCCGAATACGGGAATGAGAAGACTAAAAGAGCTATTTTTCAGATTATTATTATTTTTTTTTCCTTTCCCTTTCTTCTCACTCCTTCAAATTTTGTTTTTCCTTAATTAACATCAAATCCGGTTTGCATTTCCTTCTCTTTTCGCCGTCTTCTCCTGTCCATACAAGGACGAGTATGCCGTAGATTAGAGTGAAGTCGGAGACAGCACTCTAGAAAGAAAACAGGAAGGTAAAATTAAAAGATTGCCCTCCACAAAAAGAAAACAGCGAGAATGAAAATAGTGCCTACAATCATCCCCTCGTACCCACTGAAAATACTCGAACCAGGAGTGTTCGTCAACGATTTCTTCGCCCAGAGTCGGATCATCGCATAGATACCGAAGATAGTCGAGCGGATCATCCCCATATACGAACAAATGAGGTGCTTAGGATAGAAAAAAAAATGATAATTAATATATAAAATGACCAAAGGAAAAGGGGCCGCAACTAGACTCACCGTTGGAGAAGGAGGCTCGATGAAAAGCGGGGGGAGGCAGAAATCCGCCCCCAACCAAAAATGTAAAACGTCGTCCCGTTCGTCAGCACGCGCAGCGCTAATCATGAAAACACGACGATAATGGGCCGAAACGGAGGGCCAAAGAACAGTAAAAAGCAACGGCACTCTGGGATCCCTGCCCCAGCGAGAGCCCAGGTGAGAGGCAATGGCCGAGGAGAACCAGCCTTCGGCCGCTACCTCCACCCCCTGACGATCCTGAAAAGTAAAAAAAAGAAGGGTTGAAAAGGGAAGAAAAAAAAAGAAAAGTGGGCAGACAAGAAACAGGCTAACTCACTAGTTCAAAAGAGGGGGTACACACCCAGCCTCTCCCTGACCAAACTCTAGACCTGGTACGCTGGAGAGCTTCTCGTTGGGCTGCCAAAATGTCGCCTAGGTCGAGTCCAAAGTATCCTGCTGGACGACGAAGGGCAGGCACACGCTGGGCCACGAGGAAGTCGTGTATTTCCTCAGGAAGAAATAGCGGTGGGTCGCCAATCCTGGAGTATCTTAACACTCTGGAACGGGGTCCACCCCGAATTAAATCCCGAACGAACGGAACCGTTTCCATTAGTTACTCCAATACAGCAACACGGGGGTCTTCCGGAAATAACACCATCGAACCGAAAGAAGAAGAAAGTCCGTCACGCAAGAAACACCTAATGAACACGACGATTGATCAGCAACTGAGGCCCAACTGAGAAATTTCCAGACGGACGACGTCACGCACAGGGTGATAAGGGTGAAACCTAAGTCTATCACAGGATGAGATTCCTCCTTCCCCCATCTCAGTCCACACCTAACCGAGGAACGGCTGACTCGCAAGAAGAAAGGGGGGCGGACTATTTAAAATCATAGAATCGCTCTAAACAACATCCACTGGACAAGATATAGTATGAAAAAAAAACTCGTGTTCACGTCGTTAATATTTGCTTCGTCGTCATCATCATTGCTATCGCCATTTAATTCATCAACATTAACCAATTATTCATGACTCTATTGTCAAGAGTTAATCCGTTGATCTCTCAAGTTGCACCAGATTTTTACAACAATAGGGATATTTATTATCTGAAATTTTAAACATTGGAGTGTTTTTCTTATTTGCAGTATTCTTTTATCTTATCGTCGTTTTATAGACTCTTTTTACTCACTACGTTATGTTGAACAACCGCTAAATAGGCATTATTCAATCAATAAAGTGCACAACAGGCATTCTCTTATGCCGTCGTGAACAAAATCCTTTCGTTTTATCTACGATTAATCCTAAATTCAAAAGTTCTAATTACCAATTTTCGAGTGGAAAAATAAGACTAAATCCGGAGGAAATTCTGTCTCCACGATTCTACAGATCAACCAAAAATAATATTTGTACAGTTATGATAGTTATCCCATGTAATTTTACATCTTCAGCTCGGTATACTAATCATTATATCAGTAATATTATTTTACTTTTGTATTTTTCTGAATTTCAATTTTTACCTCGAATTGCAATGAAAGGACACGAGAATATTGCAATGCCCGCCTAAGGCGAACCACTTGATCTTATGGCACAACCTGGTGAATTTCCTACTATTGAAAACAATCGAATAGAACGAAATCAATTGTTAAGTCATCACAGGAGACTCCAACATCATGGACCAGTAATATCTCTGAACCTAAGAAAGATGCCGTGATCTCCCGTTTTTTGTTCCAATCTAAATGGATTTTCTGTATTTTAGCATCAAACTGAGTCAGCATTGAACAATTATATATATATACAACTATTTATATCGTTTTGTTTGATACTACTTTTTTTTCCTAAATTTTCTGAAGGAGTTTTAGCCGAAAACAAACTGATGGTTGCCAAGGCACGATTGGTTGCCGTGCTGAATTCGGATCTTATATCTCTCAAAAATCATTTGAAATTATAAATATATCAGCGATAATTCAATTAAGAAAGTTAATTCAGGTAACAGCAGATGGAGTTGTCAATAATGGAATGGAATTATTTAACAAGCCTGGAAGTTGTAAATCAGAGAAGTTGAAAAAATATGACTTGTTATTGCTCAATCAAAATAATGTTTATTCCTGATGGAAGTATCAATGTTCATATCAGTGATAACATTGGGTATTATAATTTTTATATCCCACTCAATTATTGAACTTCATTAATGGAATATAATGATTTCACTACTGAATAAATTACAGTTCTTTGGTATTCTACAACAGGGCCCGGCAACCTTCAGGTATTCAGGAGCCAGCCTATTACTAGGGTCGGGATAATCCTCTCATTCTAATGGGTACCCAATTAGCTAACCATTGTGAGCGAATAAGTACCAGCAGTGACGATATTGCAGCCAGCCACGTAGAGTGGCGTGCCAGTCGCATAAAAATGGCTGACCCGCCAGAATTGGCGCACATTTTCAGTTTCAAATTTTAAATAGAAAATAGAAAAATGAAAATTCACAATGAAAAACCCTCAAGAATATATTTAGAAATTGGTTTTCAGTAATTATTATTTTCCTACCAAATAGTGCCACTCTAAATGTGAAAAATAAAAATTTGCCACGGTTATTTTTGGAAGATTCTCTTATATATTATATTATATTCCTGATGGTTTTTTTCATCCCAATTTCAACCCAAATGCTGGCATTTTCCGTCACGTGGTACAAGCAAAACGGTTTTACCTGGGATATTTTTCGAATATTTCCTCGTTTGTTGCTAAACAATGACAATATCCATTAAAAAATTGGTACGCATTTCAAACCCCAAAACTGTCCTTAAAAAAAATCAAGTTCAAAGACTTTACCTTGACATGAGCAGATTTGGAGAAGAATCCTTGGACATTATTGATCAACAAATTGGAAAAAAATTGAAAATTGAGATTTCCTAATAAAACCGTTTTACTGTTACCATATGAAATGCCACACATTTAATTGCTTGAAATTAGAATGAAAAAAAATCCAGCCAAGTCCCCCTCGACCTTGAAAATTAAACGACGAGAAACAACGAGAAGGATAAGTTTTGCAGGTTAAAAATCCTCAGCGCGAAGCGCGACGAAACGAAACTCTCGGGACATATCCGATAATTGTCAAGGTTTTGGGATATTACTACTGAAAATTTTCTCATTATTTCTCTGGTGAGCCATACCTTATGCCTTGTGATTTCGATGAAATGCTAGAACGCGGGAGTAGAAAATTGTTGAAAAAAATTACAAATTTGATACACCCAAAAAAAATATATTTTTCAATCAAGTGTCTACTCTTGGCCAACATTATGGAATGTTGCTCAATGGAAACCGCGCAAAGGTGGTAGACGTCTTCCATCATTGGTAAAGGGAAGGAATGGAAGGTGAAGGAAATAGGGAAAAATTTAATCCTAAACAATACTTATTACTGATATATTTATAATAGTTCCATACCAACAATCGTATGAATGCCAGTTCATGGAGAATCTCCCATTAATGCGATGCTGTTATGAATTCTCAAATTCAATATAAGGTAAAATATCTATCGACAAAGTCACAATAAAAACTGTCTAATCATAAAACTCTCATGCGATCGTTGAACTTGCATGGACTCTACAATTTTTATGAAATGAGGTTTGTAATTACTGAGACTCACAAGCATAGCTTCTCTGAGGTTCTCATCGCCTAATGCTGACTTACCGGAGGTTTTAATTGGATTCATATGTGAAAAACCCGATTCGCAAAGATAAGTTGTTCCGAAAACAACACGCGTTCGTTTGTACGCTTCCGTGAGGTGTGGAAAATCATTATTGTCGATAATTATCTTCCACAATTCATCCGAACTGCACGAAGGTAATTCAAAAGTAATTAATTTTTCCATTTGAGCTGAAAGCAGTACCCCGTTTACGCAAGTAAAATTAACAATTGTACTTTCTAGACGTTCAAGATCGTACATACACGTATTAATGCTGTTACTGCCTGCACGTGATCCCACAAAAATTTCCCATTGCCCTGCATTCGGAGATGAATATTATCAACAAGTTTAGTTAAATCAACAAGATAAGCTAATTGTGTGAGCCACTCGAAATCGTTCAATTCTTCATAATCGCGATCGAATTCTTCTTTAACAAAACTAATAAATCCCGGTAAGTTGTCAAAAAATCGTTCAAGCATGTAACGATTTTTCCTCTATGGCCTCACCAAATACTCAAAACCCTAACCCAATTTGATCGATATCCGAAAACACGGCCAAAACCATTACCTTCGTTCTCGCAATTCCGACGATTCTGGAACGACAAAACCATAAAAACCTAAACGAAACTCCGGGGGTAATCAGCAGCTCATTCTACTCCTTAAAAATGTGTTTAGGGCGCCAGCCGATTTTTAGCTACGCGGAATCGACGAACCGCAATCGTAACTCCACCTGTATTCAAAACTCAATTTTTCACTGATCATCCCCAGAATTTCCTATCAACAGAAGCTAAACCTAGAGCCGTACGGGACTGCTCGGTTGCTCAGTGTGCGGGTCGTGGAGAGAGGGTTGGATTCGTGGACGAGAGCCTCAATTATCAAACTTCGAAATAATCTCAAGAACCTGAACTAAACTATTCGGGTATTCATAAGGACGGGGATTCGGGTAAGATAAATAAAAACCAATTGAAGATATCCTTACTTGTTCCACTATTGACCAGACAAAAAAAAAGGAATATTGTCCATTAGGAAACTTATAAT